CTCCTCATCTCTCTTCTGACCGGTGAGATCTCTTTCTCCTTCTGAGTATAGCTAGCTTGATTCTTTTGAATCTCTTTCTCGTAATCGCAAGATGAATTCAATTGTAGCACAAACTTAGTGATAGTGACATTGTGTATCTTGTTAGATTTCATACTCTGTTTAATATTCTTACGGCTGTCGTTTGGTGCTGATTAGATAATATATTGGATGATGAGGTTTTTTATCTAAGTAGTGGCAGGGTTCCTGTTTTAAGCTTTGCGCATGTTTTTTAATATATCATATTAAGATAGCTTTCTATGTTCATCACATGAGTCCAGTCCACTGCATTGTAAATAAAAGTAAAGTCTATTGAGCTCACTTAGCTTCTGGTATGTGCATAAATTTAAGCTCCAGTGACTATTTCTTATATGCTCAGGCCAGCTAGAGCAAATGTATGTAGGTGATCATTTGTTTGTTGAGTTCTCTTGTGTGTTGTGTGTGTGTGTGGTTGGTTTCTTATGGGGTTTTGATTGTGTTGCAGGTTTTGAGGAAGCTTGTTGATGATGCCTCAAGATTCTTAAACAATAAAGGAACCAAGGCTGGTCGTATTATTGGGTTTGGATGTTCTTCGTATTATCAAGGTTTTTTTTAGCTGAGAATCTTTTTCTCTCTTTTTTTGTTCATATACTGAGGATTGAAATGACAGTTTTTTTTAAGTCTTGTGTCATTTGTGAAGTCTTGAGTTCATCTTTTGCTCTGTTTTTTTTGTTCATATGCTAATAATTTTTTTCTAAGAACTCTTAATAAGAGACCTGCAAAGGACATAAAAGTTGAAAGTTTTTAAGTCTCTTAACCAAATTTACTACTTAAATAGTATTAAAAGTTGATTAAGAGACCTTAAAGAGTTTCTAGGATAATGATACACTAATATTCTCTCTGGATGATCCGGAGTGTTATGGGCTGTTTCCCACGCTAATAAAATTGTTTACTATAATATGGCATATTGCAATATTAAGAGACAACACCGACGAGCTTATTTACTCATGTCACATGTATAGTTAATACGAGGAAATTTTGGGTGATAATTTTAACCTTTAACTAAGAATTAAAAGTGTAAGTCGAAAAGTGTTAAAAAAATATCAAATCATGAGTTAAAAATTCCGGCTAAGAGAACAAGGTTAATGATCTTTTAAAAGTTGTCTCTTAGCTAAAAATGTAAAAAAATGAAGTGTTAAGTATCAAATTATGAGTTAAGAACTCCGGCTAATAAATCAGAGTTAATCATACTCTATAAACACAATCTAAAATCACAATTCTTTCCATGTGAAACACATTAAAATACACATTTACGTGTAAACTTAGCTATTTTAAATTAGAAAATCAGGAAACTATCGTGAAACACAAAAGTACAAGGTAATCCAATCAATTTAGGGAGAATTTATCTACTAACCAACTTTTAGATGAAAATTAAGACAATAGCATTGATTTTGACATTTTTAACTAACTAATATTAACCACATATTTTACATGGGTATATCCTCTTTATTAACAAGTATCTGGTAAAAGAAGGAAAGAATAGCTACTCTACAGACCTTTATGAGAGGACCGACAAGAACAAAGATGGGAAGTTTGTAGATCCTAGGTCCGAGCAAATCTACAACGACGTTGTTGCTTGGGTTGAAGAGCGCCAAATCCAGTTGACTCAGCAGTCACCCGATGAGATATCCGTCACATTATCCATAGCTGAAGTGGATGAGATTGACGAGAAGATAATTTTTTTTCTAATATTATTCCTTTCATCATATCTAACTTTTTATTATTAGCTAACATTAATCTTTATTTTTTAAAAAGGTCGTCCATAAGAAAAAGGGACGTAGATTGGGGATCGCTTCCGTTAACGATGTCCCAAGAGCGACATCGGCTTATGCTCAGCGACAGGAAGATGAGATGGCTCAGCTGCGTTAGGAGTTGAACGCGACGCGTTCTGATTTGAGAATGACACAAGCTCAAATGTGATCACTCGAAGGCTTCTTGGACGTTCTAGCGGCTGAAAATCTGCAATTAGAGATTATGTTACCAGTGAGACAGAGATAGTTGGGCATTATAGTCTCCGACCGCCAGGACAAGACGGGCAGAAGAAACGATGACGATTCTGAGAACTGTCACTCCTACTTCTTTTTATTTATTTTTGTTGTAATATAAATTTAATACTTAAATATTTATAAAATATTTTCTTTTTCGTTTATTATTTTAATTTTATTATTATTAATAATTTATTTCTATATTTTATTATAATTAATTATCAAATCTGAAAAAATTAAGTTTTCAAGTAAATTCGTCGTTACGTTTTCGTGGAATTAACTACGAAACTTAGCGTGAACATTGCAAGGATATGTTTACGTGTGACTAACGACGAAACTTAACTAGGCATTTACGAGAAAATGATTATGTGTTATTAACGGGGAAACATTTAGAGTGTATATTATGTAGAATAAATTGTGTGTCTTTTACGAGGAAAAGTAGGCCTGATTTTACGATGAAACATTTCCTCATAACATAGCAAGTTTTTAGCGAGAAAATATGTGTTACGAGAAACATGTCACGATGTTTTCCGTTTTGTAGTTATTTCCTCGTAAAATCTCATTTACGAGGAAACAACAACGAAAACGGCTCTCACTTATTATTAGTTTTCTTGTAGTGTAGATAACGTAGTCACGTAAAATGAACCACGCCATATACTTATTTACTTTATGGTATGTGCAACAAAATAAATAAATAAAATATAATTTTTAAACTCCAATTGGAACCCATAAATACTAAACCAACCAAAATTCTTAAATACTAAACTTTATATCTTAATTCCTAACCCCAAACTATTGAATTAAGAAAATTTGCCAGATGATCAAATTTATAATAAAGAGAATATCATGATATACTATTTTCACTATTTCTAATAATATATATTATATGAAAAACATATTATTATAATAGAATAAGAGAATTTTATATGAAGTCTACATACTGTTTTTTTTAACTAGGATGTTCCAGGCTCGAAGACCTTTAATCACCCTAGATCCGGAACCAGCCTTTGCTGATACATTTAAGTGGCTTAAAGCACTCCGTGGCCACACTATGACATTCGATATGGCCGACATTCTAACCCGCGTCCCCTTGAATGGTGGACTTTGCAGGTCGGTCGTTACCACTCGGCCACTAGTGTGTGGTTAATCTACGTACATTTGTGTGGGTGTAGTTAAGAAATAAGAAAATTGAATTGGTAAATGATTAGATTAGTCTATCTATATCACCAGTATAGTATATGACACCAATCTCATCTCAACCCCTAAATTCTAAGCCCTACACGAACCTCACCCCAATCCCTAAATTTTAAACCATAAATCCTAATAACTAAACTCTTAATCCTAATCACTAAACCCTAAACCCAAATATAAAACTTAAACCTAAATAGAATGAAATAAAATGAATAGTATAATACATAGTACTATACAGTTACACAATAACATACTTTTAAACGTAAAATATAATCATTATAAATAGAATAATGGAAATTTGTGTAAAGTTTACGCTTATATGGATATGGTTAACTAAATGCTAGTTTGTAAATATTTATTCATCAATATACATAAACCAAAATTCATATCAATGATCGCCAAATGCTCGTGTTCTAAAGCAGTCTTGATCAGCTTGATCCACCATATGTTAAAATAATTATGTACTGGTTTCCAATCCGAAGGTTCAAATCTAGTTTCAAACAATCTACCTAGAATGCTTAATTTTTCCATGACAAACCTAAGAAAAAATTACAAAAAAAATAAGAATCAGTTGGCAAATGACTACTAGAAACTTTGACAGATGTGATATGGAATGTAAATCAGGACACATGGTATATTATTTCAAGCAATCAAATAAAATGATAGAGGATAAATATCAAATCAGGAAACATAGCAGATTGTTCTATTTTAAGAAAATATTATAGAAATATATGAAACAGAAGACTATATCTTAAATAGTATAGTAATCTTACATGAATATCTACACTAAACAACATATACATATTATTTCATATACAGTAGTATAGTCGACGATTCCATTTTCATCTTCTTTTCTTTCTTAAACATGGTGATCTGCATTCTCTGATCCACTGTTGTTATTCCTAACCACTAACAGAATCTTATTGACTTGAACTATTCTTCTGGAATACGAATCTATGAATGCGAATCGGGAATCGTGACTTCGTCTCGCAACCGATGTGGTGCCGTCTTACTCGCGCCTCTCAATTTCAGAATCCCATAAACTTTCCCCCTTCTTTCACCGCACAAGACTTGGAATTATGTCTTCTTCTCTCACCACCGTGAACCCAAACATTTGATTTGTGGATCTTCTAAATCTGAGATGATATATATTCACCTTTCTCTCTTTAATCAATCAAAAATTAGCTTCAGATGATATGTGAACAAGAAAAAACTTTGATTTATCTTTTACATATACTAATTATTAATTTCAAATTATGTTGGTTGCAGGTTTCCTAGATTGTTTAAAAAGGCACAATTGTATTATTATAGAAAATATGTGTTGTATTATTGCTAAGTAGGTCAAAAGGATAGACAATGTATTATAGTTTTTTTAATGCTATAGCGTGTAATTTCCCATCAATTTAAGAACAAAATTCGAATTCTTAATTAG